CGAGGTGGTGTCTCGGGAGCGTGTAGGGCTTTGCAAACAAAGTGTCTGTGCAATAAAGTGAAACCTGGAGGGACACGCACAAAGCCAGTGGAAAGAAAGAGAAAGGAGGAAGGAAGTTGGGGAAAGAAAGAAATCCGGGGGTCCTAGACAACCCCCAGTCCGGCGGGTAATTCCTATGCTCCCCTGTTTTGCAGGTTGGCTGCCCCGCGGGTCGGTGAGGGCGCGAGGTAGATGCTGAACCGCCCCGGCAGCTGAGGGCAGGTAAGGAGAAAGCCGCGGGGCTCTAAAAACACGCGGGGTGCTCTCGCCTCCCCCTCTTAAGACGGGTCCCCGCTTCTCGGGTCCCGGCAGGTGGGCGGAGATGGGGAGCGGCCTGGCTCCCCACCCGGTGCGCGGCGCCCCTCGGAGCTCCGCTGCGGCCCCGCGCCCCCGCCTCCTCCGAAGTGGCCGAGCTGAAGTGCTAAGTTTGAAAAAAGTCTTTGAAACTCAATCCGCAGCCTAGCAGAGGCCCTGTGGCCCAAGGGTCCCGGCTGTTCCCCTTTCAACCCCTTCCCTGCAAATTGGGTTCCCCAGCCCAGGCCGTGGGTCACGAGGGGTAGGAGCGGGAGGCAGGTTTAGCTGTAACTTTTTTCCTGAGCTCCCGAGCCCAGGTCCCAGGCCTGCGTGGAGTTCCCGCAAAGCGGGGTGAAGCGACAGGTCCTCTGGGGCCCCAGTCCACTCCCCCAGCGCCCCTTCCAGACCCCCGAGAGCAGTGCCGCAGGCTCGGGGCGACTGGGGAAGCCAGGCTTGGACCTCCCAGTCCGGGTGAGCGCGAGCGCCGCCGCCGAGGCCTAGCTCTGCAGTCCCGATGGGGCGCTGGGGCCGCGGGTTCAGCTCCAAGAGGAGGCAGGGAGCGCATGGGACCCGCTGACACAAGCCTCCCAAGTCCGCGAGACCCTTTGGGGCACAGCCCCCCGCCAGGACCCCATTGTCCACACCAGGACCCGGCAGAAAGAAGAACCTCTTGAGTTGGTGAAGAAAGGCTGCGGCCATGGCGAGGCACCCCTAACCAACCTGGGGCCGCGTCTTAGAACCGCCAAGGCTACAGTGGCCCTTTCTGCGTCTTCTGCCGGCCTCTGGGGGACCTGGGTCAGTAATTGCGGGTGTCGTGGGATTTCTGGTGAGCAGTGTTTCAGCGGCTGAGCACAGAAAAGTCAACTGAAGGGGTGGCTGTGGGCTCTGGGGCCGGCACCCAGCCTCTGAAACCTTTGAAGAAACGTACTCTCCTAAGTGGGCCCTGCGTCCTGGAGAGGCCCCGGTGCTGCTAGCGCCTCACCTTGGCTCTCGGCTCTCTGTAATCTCTAACTTTTTGTCCTGCTTTCAAAACCACTTTAAACAAAACGAAACAACACCTCATGCTCTGGGTAGCCTGCCGCCGGGGCGCCCAGCGAACGTTTGCTGGTGCAGCACGGGCCGGCTCTCCCCGGACTAGAGTTTTGCCTAGACTTGGGACCTCCGGTTCAGCCTCTGACCTCCCGGCGTAGTCCTGCTTTTAACCTCTCCCCGCTCCTAGCGACGCCCCACGAGTGTCTTCGGCCGATTCTAAGCCTGAAAAGAGGCGATGATGATCCAGAAAAGTTTGCTTTTTGAAGAAGTCTTGGTCTTTGGACTAAGGCCTTGTAGACCCGAATTGACCTCTGTGAGCAGTCCATAGCCAGTCGCCCCTCTCCTTGCCTCTGACAAGACCAGGAAGCCGAGACAGCTGCGAATGACTGTTTCCTTGTGTCTCATGTCTCTATAGGCCGAGCCCCCAGACGCCACAGAGCTTGAAGGACTGCGCGGTGGGAGCCCCGCACTGCGCCCGGCCCCCTGGATCCGTCGGGGCACCTCCACCCGGCTGTTAGCATGATGTCTTACCTCAAACAACCTCCATATGGCATGAACGGGCTGGGCCTGGCAGGGCCCGCCATGGACCTCCTGCACCCGTCTGTGGGATATCCGGGTGAGCACCAGCGCCCTCCCCCGGCCCCCTCCACTGCAGATCTTGGCGACCCCCAGCTTCTTGGGTTTGCCAGCACACTGTCGCTGGGCAGACCCAGGGCAGAGTTGCAGGTCGGTGAGGTGAGCCAGGGCAGTGGAAACCCGCAATGTGCACGCTCCCCGCGGGACCACACTGGCCACCTGTCTCCTGTTGTGGCCCCACTGCCAGCACAGGGATTTGTTTCCCATGGGTGGCTTTTTTTTTTTTTTTTTTTTT